ATTTTCTCTTTCACTGGAGTTGCTCTTCTTCTCATCATCCTCCTCCGGTTGCACTAATCTGGACACCAAAAATGTGACCGTTTCTCCAACATCCGCCTTTTTCAAGCGGTCGACGACTTCGGCCTGAGTCAGATCTGCAGTCGGTTCGCCATTCAGCTGAAGAGCATGAATTTGTTATGGGTAAAATCTGTAACTAAAAGCGAATCTCTTACCTCCAGTAAACGGTCTCCTGCCCGCAGGTGACCTAGAGCAACTCCATTCGGTTTTACCGTTCCAATATAGAACAGTCGTTCGCCTTTTGCAGTTTCACGTCCCGTAACGGTAAAGCCAAAACCAGTAGCGGCTGTAAAAAATATCATCCTAGAGTATAATTTGGCAAGAACAAAGAATTTTCAAAATCTCAAAAAAAAATCAAAAAAGTTGGCAAATAACAAGGAAAAAACCCACTTTTCTTCAACTCCACAATTTTTGTATGTCCAATATGCTGAGTGTTTGCTTGCTGCAACGCTGACAAAATTGGTCTACTTTGGATGGAGGAAGTAGCGGCATCTCTCGACAAATTTCCCGAATCCGCAAACGTCGATGGCGGCCGCGCTATCGTCAGTGATGGCTCATAATGCGATTGCAGCTCGCTGAGGTAGGCTCTAGCACGTACAATGGACATCTAAAAGAGCAATGCATTGGATTTGCAACTAGAAGTTAAATTTGCAGCAGTGGTCCACACTTGAATCACCCGCGCAGGCAACACGCAAGTTGCGTCCACCCTTGCGGCGCGTGTTGCGCGATCAGCCTTTGTGTGTAGATCACTGGAACATACCTGATAAACAGGACGAGAATCAATTTCCACAATATTGTCGCCAACTTTCAAGCGACCGTCCAAGCCTACTCGTCCATCAGGTTCTATTCGTAGTATCTGCACTGCAGACAAACGTCCATTTGTAGAGGATGGATCGTCTTGTACACCCGTAACCTTCAAAAACAATAATGGTAAATAATTCCACCAACACAATAGATTTTTCTAGAGATTTTCAAGGTAAACAAGGAAAATGATGTTTTTCTTGTCCGTTTTACCTAGTTATTCATATTTGCATATTTCGTTCATTAGTCTTCACCTACTTATGCGGATTTTCGAAAGTCGTCTACATGAGTAGTCATTATGCATATGACCAAATAAAAACAACTTATGATCCTTCAGCAAGTTCAGATTAGCTTTACAATCGTTGAAAATTCGGAAAAAATCTACAGGGCGCGTGCAATGTCAAGGACTATCACTCAGAGAATTTCTATCGCAGCTCCCATCCAAAATTTTTTGTGATGGTGATCCGAGCTCGAAGGCCGGATCACTTCTGAAAGTTGGATATATCGTGAAAGTTTAGCGATCTGACAAATTTATTGATACTGTGTCAACATTTTGCTGAAAAATTACT